TTTAATTAATAGATAAATAGATTTACACCCACGACTTCAAAGAGGAGAGTTTAAACTAATAAAACCCCTAAGGCCATAAAGATTAAACTAGAAAATATCACCTCTATAAACAAAAAAAACATACGGAGTAAGTACTAACCCACGATAAGACCTGAAAAGCTGAGAACTTTACATGCTGGGAGGATGGGCACCATTATAGTCTTCAACCTTTACTTAATCTTCAAATATTTCATTCTTTTTTTCCCAAACATATTTTTGTTTCAAGTACAAAAATGTCTGAAGAGAAAGGATGTTCTTATAATCTTATTGAAACGCATAGTGGCAGAATGGGGGGAGAGTGGTGAGGGTTTACCGAACCTCCCTTACGATAAAAGTAAACATAAAAAAGAAGTTAAAAAAGCACTCACAACCTACCTTATTGTCAACAATCTGAGCCGACTGAGCGACCGAGCCTCTGGCGTGGGCGACGGGCAAAGTGGAAGATGGACCAATGGCGGTGCGGCGGTCTGATAGGGCAGCCTAGCGGATGATAGGGCGTATGGAAAGCTGCTGGCGCAAGCTCGAATCCCGCAGACAACCTTTCTCCTGGTTTTTGGAGTTTCGCGGTTATGGGCTGGGACGGTTTCGCTTGGGTTTAGGCGGTCACCGGTTATTTCCGGGTTTGGCTATATTAGCGGTTTAGTAGTTAACCGGGTCGGATGATTGACCGGGTGGCCGGTTTCCGGGTCGGACCGGCCGGTCCGATCCGATTCTTTAAACAAAGCATAGCTGGACTGGGCCAGACTATTTTTCACTAGGCCATTTAGTATAAACTTTTTTAAGAGAAATTTATTGACTGGAACTTGGTCGGGCTACTCCACTTCAAGTGTTTATATGTGAGTTTTTTTTGTGTGGAAATATGTGATCATCTTCTTCATGAATTGTAGATATTGTTCATCAAATTTCAGCTTAAAATTCAATCGGGAAATAAGTTATATAAATTATTGAAAAGTATCGGGCAAAAACATATGGAAAACACAGTTTTGAAAGATTTATTTAATTTACTTTCTGTTTAATCTTTGAATGCAAATTTTGTGGACATAATCTATATTTTGTGAAAAATATGCTCACAAAATTTCATCAAAATACTTTACCCGGAAGCACCTCAAATGAAGGTGGCCAGAGAACGTTCCAGTTAGGAAATTCCCGACAGGATCATTTGTATCATTTTTTACTTTTTTCTTTTGAAAATCATCATTTTTAATATATATAATACAATAAAGGAATTCTAAAATAGCCACCAATTTTCTAAATAAACTCACATAATTGCCATACAAAATGTATTACCTTCATCTCATAATCCTTGTCCAACTTTTCTTTTTTTGCCGTCCCAAAAAACTTTGTCATTTCTATTTAAAGTAATTAATATGTGGTCAAAGTTATTTCTTTCTCTTATGCACAAATTTCAATCTCACGATTTTTACTTTACTATCTTACATGCAAATCAAGTTTGGTCAAGATCTATTGTTGGGGGAGTATTATTTATAACTCCTATTGTATGCGTATTAAAGAAAGTAACACAACATCAGCATATAATCCAATGATATTTGAAGACCGTCGTTTCAAGAAATAGGAAGAAAAGTTTAACATCGATGTATAAGAGGAGAGAAGCTCCCTTTCTCCTTCCAACAAATCGAAAGCAAATAGACATCAATCTTAAATATGTGTACTTCATATTGTATAAGCTAATATATATGTCTATGGACATGCGCATACATATATCTGTGTCTCAATGTATGTGCAACTATAAATTTTAACTTCTTTATTGTGTGTGTTATATATGATTTTGAGAGTAAGGGTATGCTTGCGAGTTTAAAGGGGAGGAGGAGGTTTTGAGGTTTAGTCATAGCCTCATAGGAGAGGAAGACGAGGGGAAGGAGAGGAAAACTTCATAAGTTTGGAAAGATAAAGATTATGGAGAATTTATGATTAAAATCACTTATATTGTGGGCAATAACCCAAGAACGCCACAGTCTAGGAGCCCAAACTATGTGACTGGATAAATCACCCTCTTCGTAATTTAGCTTATATTCTTTTTAACTTGAGTTACAACTATCATCATTTAAATATATTTCATCAAATCCCCCCCCCCCCATTTGAAGGAGTTTGAAGGGTTTTGCAGGGTCAAAAGAACTCTCCATAATCATTCCTTATCAATTTTAAACTCCCAACCAAGAAAGGCGGGGTCACAAACCCTCCTAATTCTTCTCTTCTCCTCTACTCCAAAACACAGCTCCCAAATATACCCTAAGGGTACATGCACAATTGCATCAGAAATTGTGGACATCTATATGTAACACACATTATTAAGAAGAACCATCATTTTTAAAATAGATGATAATATTGTACATTACCGCTAATTAATTATTGACATTTAAAATAATGATGAAAATTTATGACACATTATATGCCATGAGAATAATATTGTGAAAGAATGGTGCAAGAGATGGCATGTATGTTTTAGTGGAATTGAACCACTAGACCTCGCCAGTTGCCCGCTTAGCTACGTTATGGCTCAGCTCCAATAGTTCTCACATTAAAAATACACTAGCACACATATAAATATGACAATAGAATCATGGACAACTCATGCAAGTAGATAATTGTGAAGCAATATGGCTGGTCGATCGCCAAAGATAAGATTTGTAAATATGAGATTGATGATTCTGATTATATATATATATATATATATATATATATACACACACACACACACACACAAGAATGACAATGTCACACCCCTGATTGCATCTAAGCGCGTGTAAAACTGCTGTATGATCTAGTGACGTCACTCGCAAGTCAACCTTACTTAATCATACAAGGCATACATGAACATAGTTCATACAATACTCATTAAGTAAACATACATAACAACATCACATTTAAACCAATGAATAATGGAAATATTCAACGGTAAGTCATGGGCCACATCCGGCCAAAACATGGGCTCGCAGGCCCAAAATAGTTTATAGTAATTCAAATATCCATAAGCAAGTGTTTTGAAATTTTGAAAGTAATAAGGGAGCACGAACCACGTCTTCATTGAGTTGACTTCACTCGTATGAAGGTGCAGGTAGCAAGCCCTAGCTTCAACCTGAATATGGTGCCCCCCAGGGGTCAGTACGCGAATACCGAGCGAGCAGCAGGCTAAATGTAGAATAACTAACGTTTCAAGTATAAGACCCAAATATATTGTAATACATATACTTATATTCTCCCCCCCCCCCCCCAATTCTTGAAATACATATGAGTATACACTTGGAAAATACCCGACCTGTGGGTCATTGTTTATTTGGGAAAATAATAGTAGTCAACGTCCTTGACTAAAAATCTTAACCCACCCATCACCTGCGAGTGTATAGGCTAGGACTCCTCCTGTCCAATCAAGTATTATATGGACATCACTTGGTCCTGAATTACTAAGCCGTAATCTATGAGTTTTGAGGACAGTCCAGTCCCTGGGTATGTTCTCCACCATTTATATACCGAGTTTTGAGGACGACCCAGTCATTGGATTCTCCACCATTTATATATTGGGTTTTGGGGACAGTCCAGTCTCTGGGTACTCGCCAATTTATATTCACCCATATGATCTACTACATATCGTACATAGATAGGGTCTATATCATAATCATTATCAAGACTAAACCAAGTGTTATAGCCTAAGCATATATAACCGTCCATGCAAAACCATGCAATAAAACAACATAGGAAAAAATCAGCACCAAATTAACGTCGGTTCTCCTATGACCGGAGCTGGTTCACCATTTATTTGTTTAACTGGGTTACCCCGTTCTCACATCAGCACCGGTTATAGCCAAACCGGCGCTGGTCCACTGTCTTCTTCGCGGTCAACGGCCAGTTGATCGCCTGAACCAAATTTATTGATCCGAAACTTAATCACAACGTGTATTAAGTCTTAAACAATCATTATTTGCCATTTTGGCCATTCAAAACATCACATATGTTTTTATAACATTTTTATATCATTTTCATGCATATATTTATAGTTCATTTCATATAACCTAATCATCTTGGCTAATCTCATGCTTAAACTCTTTTAAACATCATTATGAACACATACAATATTCACTTTGTGAAACCGCACCCGAACGTCCTTGAAAATTCAATTTAAAATTCAAAGTTTATGTATTGAATTTCCAATTACCAAACAATTGTAAAAAGATTAATGTTTTACGTAGTGCATGATTGATTATTGTACCGTTCGAACTCGTATATTAGTTATGGGCTTGCGAATACTTATTTGGGCCATCTTAATAAATATAAGAGCCCAACATTATCTAAATAATGATACATAACCTTTCGATACGAATTAAGGAAGGTCGGGCAGCCCAAACACTATTTTGGGCCCAACCTGCTAAAAATAGTAAGTATTCAAGAATGACATCCTAGGCCCACTCGAGGGTGACCCACACGTCTTGTATCCCCAGAATATAAATACTAATGTCATAAATAAGTGATAGGATGATTAGAAAAGAATACAAATGTCTATGGTCACATCCTTGATATTATTGAGCTAAATAATGGGAGTAAGTTTTCATCTATAATTTTCATCATATAAATTATTGGGATGATCATACACATATTAGAGATCAATAATATGATGTAGAAAGTTGACTTGTTCTAAATAAATTAGAATGAGTACAAAAAGTCATCTTTTGACAAAAGATAAAACAATATAACCCATCTTTCCACTTTTGGATGTATTGGTTGATATTTTGCTCCCAAAATAATCGGGAACACTAAGGTGCATCCCATATCTTCGTATCACCTGCAATACAAGAGAAATAATGTTAGGGGGCGGCCATATATGACTTTGGGGGTTGGACTTGACAAAGAGATCAAAGGGGGAGGACCCACCTTGTCAATTTTCGCACAAATCATGGGTGTGATTTGTCTCCCTCCATAATGGGAGTTGTACTCATCCAAATGAGGTGAATAAGGTGTCCCTGGATATCCTTTGAAGTCTAGTTCATTATTGAGTGGTTGCTGAGCGATAAGAGAGAATCTTACAGACGATAATCGAGGTTGAGTGAACTGCTGCGTATAAACTCGAGCAATGGGAGTGTTGGCCTTGTTTGGTTCTTATCTAGAGCTATACTCATCCAAATAAGGCGTGTGAGGTATCAAAAGAACGCTATAAAGATAAGAAATCCGTCAAGGCCTGGTTTGCATCAAACGGAGTAGTAGAAGGCTTTCAAATTGTCCAAACAAAACACAAACGTGCAGGGACAGATTTACTTCTCTAAAGTGAGTTTTAATCCCAAAACCTTTCTTTTCGTTTCCCATATGATATAAATGATTGGTGGAACTATTATACACTATTCTAAGTGTATAACATGTTCTTATAAGGTTATTTTATTGATGTAAGGGTTAGATACTAACCTAGAGCAAACCTTGGAAAAACTAGGAACCAAGTTCGCCAGGAAACACCCATTCTAGGGGCTGTTTTCATATCAACGGTTAGGGGTTGAACTAGCACTTTGAGGGGGCTGTTTAACACTCATTTCTAAGCAAGGAATCAGCTCTAAAACTTCCTTGGTTGAAGCTTTGGTCATTGGATCAAGAAGGAAAAGTTTAAAGCTCAATTAAGGTGAGCATCGACATCTAATTGCTTGCAACTTGTAAGTTAAGCATGAGATTACCTAAATGCCTAAATCATAATTTTCATGAATTATGATGCTTAAATATTTATGAATTATTGATATAGTTGACAAAGAATGAAATTGGAAATGATTTGAGGTTGTATGGATAATATGAGATTAAATGAGTTATTGATGAACTATTTTGTGAAATAGGCATTTTACTTATGCATGAATTATGTGGATACATAAATGAATATTTATGTATTGAAATTGAATACTTAAGTCGCTGTTACATACTTATAAATATGTAGAGAATTACAAAATGAGAATATTTGTATGATGACAATAATCTTAATAGATTGAAATACTAGTTAGTGATTATTGGAAATTGTTGATAGAATTGATCCTAGGTATTGGATTGTATGAAATGCACTTGAATATACTTCAAGTGCATAAAATGACTTGGTATTAAGCTAAGGTTAAGTTATGGGCAGTCCTTAGGGATGACCTAAGGTGGTTTATTGATATGTCAATTCTAGGCATAGGTTTGCTTAGGAATTGAGCTTTAGTGCATGGTGATGTAATAGAGCCGAGCTCTAGGATGAATGGTAAGGTGGTAGACTTGTAGTCTATGTATTGTATAACTAGAGCCGAGCTCTAGGGCTTGCACGGTGATGTAATAGAGCCGAGCTCTAGAATGCAAGGTGAAGTAATTGACTCAAATGACATGAATTGTATGGTGATGTGATAGAGCCGAGCTCTAGGATAAAACGTCATGTATTAGGGTTGGACTCTATGAGTTGTCGTGGCTTATAGTCACGGAGAATGGGAATGGTGATTTCAAAATGAACATGGGCCCACGGGCCGACTACTTGACTTTATATAAAGTAAGTATATTTTCAAACACGGTAACTTGGGGTTACAACCATATTGTACTATCACCCTATTTGAGGGTCTTGTGTTTGAAATGGTTGTTGTATATCTATTAGATGTCATCCACACCAGTACTTTATATCCCTATAGAGTACTGACCTCTTCGGGGGCGTCCCACCACCATTTCAAGTTGAGGCTAGAGCTTGCCTCCTGTGCTCGTTGCTCGAGTGATTTCCCGGAGAGAAGAATTGGTTCGTGTTTCCTCCATTCTATTTTAGAACATTATTAAACATGCTCATGGATATTTTACTTTAGAGTCTGTGTGCTCATGTTTGCCCTGTGTGACATTTGATTTCAAACTATGTTTTCCGCTGCGTATTGAATTGCTTATTATGTATTGTTATGGATAACTAATGTGTGAATGATATTCATGACGCCTTGTATAATATGGATGTGGTTGACTATGGTTGACTATTCGTATTGTACAGTTGGCTGTTGACGTGTTCGGGTAGGTCCGGGCCGTGACACACTTAGGTAATCTCATACTTAACGCAAGAGTTACAAGAAATTAAGTTGTCTACTCACCTCGAATGAGCTTTAATACGTTCTACTCTCCTCGGTTGGACTCTGGCGAACTTTGTTGGACTCTGGCGATAAATCTGGCGACTCTTCCAACTCCGTGAAAGCACTAGGAATGCCTTAGACACGTTACTAACAAGGTTTCATCATCACAAAACTCATATCAACACAAATTATCTTAAAAGGTTATATTTCGATGAATCGGTCGCGAGCTTACGACCCCTTAACCATTACTAATCTCTTAACGAACGATTAAGTGTGTGTGAAGGTGTCCTAGAATAAATTAGATCTCTCATTTATTCTACATGCAATTATAATCCTAGCTGTAGTTCTGGGATACAAGAGATATCAATTAAATCATTCAAACACAAATTAAACAACATTCATGCAATTAATCCATCGTGAAGTTAACCTAGATCATGGTTAATCCCTTCATCAATTCCAAATCCCTAATTAAAACTACTCACAATTCACAATTGAATCAACAATATAATTGGAATGAAAAGAATTAATTATCATTAACTAAAAACTTGGGACTTACAAATAATCCCAGTGTCTCGAATTGAAGAACAAAGCGGAAAAATGCGTAAAAACTCGTCCCTAGGCTTCTCTGTAAGCTCCGTAACAAAAAATAGGGGTTTACGGGGTGTTTAAATAGAAAACAGATCAATCCAAGCCCAAATGGGACACCTGGGGGCGAAAAAATGCCAGGCACGGTGTGCCTGCCCGACCAGCTGTAGCTCTAGCGTGATTTTTTCTTCCGCGCATGGCGTGCGTCTTTCCCGTCCAAATTTGACTATGCATCCTTCACCAAAGTTGTAGCCAATGAAGTCTTCTTTCCATAAAGACTTGAAAAAATGGATCTGGATTATCCAATAAAAAGATATTAAAAAAATTGTGGAAGGTCGCATCCTGAAATCTCAACAGAGATTATCTGACTTCCTCGTCTGTTTTCACCTTGACTCTCTCATATTCTCGTCATGGTGTCTTCATACGATTTGTAGCCTTTGAAGTTAGCTTTCATATGGAACTTCAATTGTGTACTTTGGATGTTTCTACAAAAAGATATGCTTGAGCTATTGACAGAATGTCATCCTGACCGCAGTTTTCATGCTCTAATCGTCTTTTTTTTTTACCCCGTAACCAATCCTAGAGCTCTTTTGTGTTCAAAACTTCATCTTTAACACCTCATTGACATCCAATAATTCTAATCAACTCTCAAATGCGTCTCAACTCTCTCGATTACTTCTCAAACACCGCGGTCGGGCTTAATTCCGTGATTTTGACTCTAAAATACCAAACATACACCAAACCCCGATAAATCATGACTTGAGCTAATTATGAGCCTTGTGACACATTTAAGTTAGGAAAACTATCAAAAAAACGGTCTCAATACGCACAAATGCGTGTTGAAATACGGTCTTATCAAGATACTCCGCAATATTTGGCAAAGTATTGCAAATGGATCTAAATGATAATTGAAAAAATGGCCCCAATAATACTATTGATGTTTGAATTTCCAAAGATATAACTCTTCTTCTTTTTCTGTAAATGTGGCTTGAATTAAACGAAGGATACACATTTATGTTTTTCAGCAGTACCGACTCTTCCTTTTTTTTTTTACCCCGGAAGGCAAACCACCCATCGGTGGAGTAGATGTCGAGGAGCATCTACTAGATTTTATTAAATAATAATGAAAGTAAGAAGGAAACCGACTCTTCCTATAAATAATCTTTTTTTTCTCTTTCATCGATATCTCCGCATACTGAAACACCCCTCTATATGGTAACTGCATCTCGCTCACTTAGATCTTCATCCTGCCGTCTCTGCTTCATCCCTCTTAAGCTTCACCCGATGGCCGAGTAGCATCTTCATTTCATCAAAGCTTTGTGTGGTGATCATTCTAAACCTAAACTTTTCGTTGTTGCACGTGTTATCCCTTTCATTTGATTCATCAGTGATCCATTCATTTAATTATTGGCGGAGTTGCAGTTGTGATTTTCTTTCTAACCCTAGCTAGCTAACCCCAATTCACCAAACAATTGAGACTGCTCCTATGATATTTATCCTTTTTATGTGAACTAGAATAGGATGTACTGCACACTTCTTCATTAGGAATTCTCTTATGGGCTGGTTATTGAATGCTCCGACATTTTATTTGATTCATCAATTCAACAAGAAAGTAGATGAAATTTGTCGGTTTGTAGCTTGGAATGAGTCATTTATATAATTTGACTCGGGTGGTGAGTTGGACTTTTTTGGACTTGCAAAAGATCACCGAATAAACTATAAATAATGTCTGCATTTGTAGAGTATAATTGAAAGCTCCATGATACCCCCCCTAATGTGTGTATAAGTTTGGTTTTTAGATGCAAAATATCAACACTCATAATCCATTGAGGTTGTTTCCATATTTACATTTGGTCACTGAATATTGAATAAACTATCTCTTCAATTATGAAGTATATATATCAATAATGTTATTCACTTGAAATTTGTTTTTCAGGATTTCATTATGAAGTATAGATATCAATAATGTTATTCACTTAAACTTCGTTTTTCAGGATGTCATTTGGTCATTGATATTCGTTTAGATGCCTTGGTTCAGTCTTTATTGAGTTTCCTTTGTTATAGTTTGATTTTACTTTCACCATGATATTTTTGCTATATTGAGTTAAAATTTACCTCCCGTTTACCTATGTTTGACAATGTCGTTTGTCTAAATTCCTGATGCATCACTATCTAATAGTTAAGTTTCTTCTACAATTTCAATCCACCAAAAATGTATAATAAAAATATAAAATATTTTACCTATAGTATTCTAACTCCCTCTTTATATTTTTATTTTTTCTAGTCATGTAGAAGACTTGTCAAGAAAACATTGTTTATAAGAAAACTGGATATATGTTAGCTCTTCAAATTTGGGTTTTTAACTTTTGAGTGCTTCCCCACTCTTGAACAAATGGAATGCATCATTTGTTGATCCAATTGCACTTCCACTACTTGAAGTGGTGTTCAACATAAAAAAAATAACTAATGATGCCCTAAAAGCATATACCCTTTTATTAATTGAGATTTATCTATTCCACATGTTTATACCCATTTAAAATATTAATAGAATGACAATAATTTATCAAATTGGTAACATTTTTTTATTGAAATTTTTAATATTATTTATAACATATTTCTCATAGAAGCGTTAAAATTCTTGATGCATAAACCAACACCAGTTAGCTATTTTCAAAATAATCGTTTTTACATCATACCATATTGATTAAAATCAGTATTTATTTCCGGCTAAATGTCGGCATGCCAATATTTTTGTACGCACCTAACACACCAGCCAAAAATGTGTTACTATAATTTCACATATATTATCATCACCATCAATAAATTTTCTTTCAAAATTCAGTGACTATATTGAACAATTAGTCACTACAAATTTACTCACTAATAAAGTTACAAAACTCATCATTGTTGATAATCAATACATGCCTTCACATTATTCGGTATCATAAATAGCTTTAGTTGCTATATTCACTTATACAACAATATTTTATGCCACTAAAAGGCAGTCACTATACACACTCAGTTACTATTAAATAACATTATCACTCTCCAAAAACAGTCACTCTCCACACATGTTCTCTACCCCTATTGTATCGTGTATGCCTAAAAATATATGAATTTGCTACAATCGTCACTGTTGTGAAACCCATACAAACTTGAGAGTGATTACTTTTTGTCTTCATCCTTTTTTGTCTTGCGATGAAGGTCAAAAGAGAAGAAACACACTTCTAATTAAAAGGGATGACACTTACAAAAAATATGGAAAGCTATTAATAAATTAAATCTTTCCTTTTTGCATGAAAACTCTCCAATGCTCTCTTTAAGCCCCCTTTTTAGTCACCCACACAACTTCTGATAGTCACGTTTGAGGAAATTTTTTGTTCTGGTAACTTTTGTGTCATTTAATGTATTAATTGTAATGTTCATTAAAAATGCCAATAAAATAAGGTTAAAATTTCATATGCATCAACATTAATAAATTAAAGATTAAAACACCATATATCATTAATGACCTTTAACTCTTATTTTTTAGAAATGTTCTTTGTGTACACGTTTTTGTATACACGCCCCAAACATTTTCTATATCGAAGGCAATTCGTCTGCACCACAAACAATTCATCTGATAATGGAGAAATTGTTTATAAATTTATATTAAATATTTGTGATACATAATACGTGTACACCAAGCATGATTGATTTTTTATAGACACCATGACCTCATGTAACATTGAGTTATCATGAAATTAATTAATCTCATCTCGATCTTACAACCATTAAAACACTACAAAACTCTAATCCTTTGTATCCAGAATTATCTAGACATATTTCAAGTTAAGATCTATTATTAGAGTTTTCCTCCAAACTTGTTTCGCTCTTCATTTTTGTAGACACACGAGTAAATGATGATTGTTGGTGTTTGACTGTTTCTATTGTGGCAATCATGTATTGATCAAAGGTACTCTTTCATCGGTGTTAATACACGAGCATTTGACGTCTCAGTTTCTTAAAACATGACTTGTCAATCCAAAATGGAAAGTTGTGAATTACCTTGTGATATGTTGATTGAAGTTTTGGCAAGACTGCCTGTAAAGTCTCTGATGTGGTTTAAGTCTGTTTGTAAATCGTTCTATAATTTGATAAAGAGTGATCTTCAGTTCATGCACAAACACTACGAGATGAGCAAAACAAAACAAGGATATGCTCTTATAGAGTCAGGAAATTATTAAAGCAAAGCTATAAACTTGCTTTACAAAGAATCAGAGTTTTATGCAGTGGGATTTCAAAATCTAGACATAACACCTTTCCATTTGAAAATTTGGCATGTCAAGTGTTTGTATGGTATGTTATGTTTGATTGTTAGTAGGGAGGATCCATTTTACCTTTCGTTCGGGAATGATATGATTTATGACATTGTGATATGGAACCCATCCACCAAGGAAACCAAATCCTTACCTGCACTTAAGGTTGTCTTCCGAAATCCCCACGATCAACCAAATGAACCACCCATGAGGTTTTATATGAATGATGGATTCGGTTTTGGGATTTGTAAGAACATGACTTGGAAGATTGTTGGTCTCTGGAACTTTAAAATTTCGAGGGGTAATGTCTATCACATAATCGTAATGGTTGGTAGCCAAGTTGGTGATTCATGGTGTTGGAGGCAAATTGATGCAACAAACATTAATTGCGATTATTTGTATTTCATTGAAGATTTTTATATGAAAGGAAGATACTATTGGCGAGTTATGGCAATCTCCTCAACCTTGTCAACTTATGAGCGTGAGCAGCTTCTTTGGTTCGACATGGATGATGAAGTTTTTGGTAGGCTTGAGTTGCCATCTCATATTGGATGTGGTATGTTTACAACTTCAGATGAGACTATTGCTTTTCTTGGTTATCCAATTGTGGAGAACAACTATCAAATTGAGATTTGGTTGATGGCTGAAGATGACAACCGCCATATTAATTGGCATAAATATACAACTATCGACTCTCAACATTATCCAGATGAAAGACCGATAGGAATTTGGAATCGAAATTTGCTTCTGTTTCCTCCACTTCCAAACACCGACTCATTTACGTTTGATACAGATTCTGTACCATATTTGATTTCCACCAATTTGGCAACTGGGGAAAGGAATATTATGTATGTCACAGAAGAAAGGAGAAACATTAACATTGCTTATAACTCAAGTGGGTGTGTTCGCGTATACTTTGAGGGGAATGTCCAGATTCCTCTAGAGTTCAGAATGTTTCATCTAGTGGGGGCATTTGTTCGAGTTTATCATGAGTCTATATTTGCTGTGAACATGATATGACATTTAGCTATTGAGTTCAAAATGTTTCGTCTATGATAGTATAGAATTGCTATTGTTTATGTTTGTAATTTTAACTAATTTTTATTTGTTGTTGTTTGGGAAATTATACACTTTTGGTGTAATACTTTATTTTTAATTTCCTGGTTGTTTGTCATTTGTTTAGATTGGGAACATTTTGAGCTTAATGTAGGTAAACATCGTCAAAAGGATATATGAAAGGCCAAATAAAGTGCAAGGGAACAAGATAAAGTGAAGATTTGGAAAATTGTCTTTATACCAGGTCGGGTATAACAAATACCCGATAGCGGTATAGCTTGATTTGAGTGTCTAAATCAAATCCGGGAACAAATGATCATGAGAGCAATATTTGTGAAGATTTGTATTATGCCCGGTCGGGTATTCAATATACCCGATCGGGTATTTCACCCTACCACCTTCAAACACCTATAAATACACCTTTCTCCTTCACATTTAATCACCAATTCACATATACCTCTAAGCTCAGTTTATACAAATATTTTCCTTATATTTTCTAGTATGTTTAGTCTCTAAATGAGGAGCTAAACTCTTTCATCTTGATTTTGCTACATTGAAGCGTATAATTTGTGAGTTGTGAGTTATTTTCTTTAAACATCTTCCTTGAATATTAATTACATTCCTATTTAATATCTCATATTAATTTTTGAACATTACTTAAAGGATCAACTAGTTTTGTTTGATATATTAATTAATACTAGAATGGGAACAAAGTCAAATAAGGTTTTCTACTATTACAGAATCATCACATAAGACCATATACTCAATAAAACGTCATACAAATACATCTATTTACAAAAAGCAATCAGACGAGTCCTTACAACCCGATGACAACCTCACACATCTACTTATTTTATATTTGTATTTTCTATTTTTATATTTATTGGTCTCCCATGAAGCTTCCTCTTGTCTGCAGTGCTCCTTCTTTATGCTCTCAAGCTCCTTCATCTTCTTTTCATCGTTGCTTGCTCACATGTCAAAATATCTTAATATATTCTAATTCTAGTTTAATTTAAGAAGATAAAAAATACACCGTAATTGTACAAAATCTAAGAAAACACAATGTTAAACCATTATAAAATGCGGTGTTTGTGCAATACTAAATAGTACATGTCAAATACCCCCATGCCTAATCTTTTACTTGTCCTCGAGTAATATAGAATTCAAGATCACTTCTTCGATGCACTGGGGGTGTCACGTTGTTTCTCGCATTTAAAATTGGTTCCTTCTCCCAAGCTTTTATTTTCAGTTCATGCTCCCCCATGCTTAGCTTGTTGCGGTACACACTTTTGAATATTTTCGAGAAGCTTTTTGAAAAAAACCCGGTCGATTATGGCCTACACCCGATCCTCATTTTTTTCTTGTCAGTGACAATTGGAGTTAAGTTGGGTATATGGTTTTCGGGTGGAGTAGAGGCTGAAAGTGTAACGCCCCAAAATCCAGTCTAATTGTTAAGACTATATATGAATAAATTTATAATATCAATTTAAATAATTTATTATATTTCAGTCAAAATTGGAAATTTTCTTCCTAATTAGTTTACCAAAAACTCTTAAATTTTATTCTATGATATTTCTACTAGTACATAAATATAAGAATTATGATTAAAAGATAAATGGTATGTAAAGTAATAAGTCAACATGACACGATAAGGACTATTACAATTACTAGCTCTAATATTTTATTTATATACGTAATTTCTTGATAACTAGTACACTCAAGGAGCTTGGAAGTATTGTGATGCAGCAAAATTATGTCCTCGTCATTGGACACTTGGTCTTAATAAGACACTTTTTAAAATGACAAGGATTATATATGGCGGTCCAAATTGGCTATATAAATAAGAGATATTACACAAAATAGGACTAAACGAATTTGAAAGTTCCAAAATAGAACTTCCATGTTTTTATTCTCAAAATAGGACTAATTACTATCAGGTTTTGGCAGTACCAGACTTCAAACATAACAGTATTTTCCAAATTTGACAGTAATTAGTCCTATTTTGGGAATAAAAACATGGCAGTCCTATTTTGGAATTTTCAAACTTTTTTAGTCCTATTTCGGGAACTTTCCCAATAAATAAGTGATGCTCCTTCATTAGATTTTAAGTACCAAGATAATTAATTATTACGGAGTATATCCAAGAGAAGATAGCCGTATATATATACCAAGAGTACTACCTCCTGAGATTTCCAGATAAATTTTGTCTATAAGGTCAGTACGTTCCCACCCCCGTTTAGATTAGTATAATATTGTTATGTTAATTTCCGTCCCCGTTTCCTGTTATGTTATGGGGATGATGGACATTGTATAAATTAGGGATATTTTGTGTGTTTTAAAAAGTATATTCTTTGAATTCATAAGAAATATTATTCTTTAAAATAACATTTAGGACATGTTTACTTCACCGGTTATTAAACGGTGCTTATTAAGACCCGTGTTAATAAGCGGCGCATAAAATAAACAATGTTGTAAGACCGTGTTTACTTCAAACGGTTTAAAACACCGCTTAACATTAAAATGTCCAAAATAACCCTATACATATATATACACACAAACATTCATGAACACAAGTATATAATATAATATGTGTACCCATACCCCTAACCCCTTACCCACCCTACCTTACCCCGACCCCACCACCGCCTACCCCTACCCCTACCCTACCTACCCGACCCTACCCCTATCCGACCCCACCCTAACCTGCCCCCACCCTACCACAACCCTACCCCCGACCCCATAGGCCCCTACCCCCATAGGCCCTTACCACATCGACCCCACCCCGACCCCACCTTACCCCAACCCCGCCCCTACCCCTACCCTACCCAACCCGGGTAGTGGTAGGGTGGGTTCGGGTAGGTAGGGTGGGGGTTGAGGCGGGGTAGGGTAGGGGTAGGGTCGGGTATGTGGGTAAGGGGTGGGGTAGGTAGGGTAAGGGTAGGTGTGTGGTCGGGTAAGTAGGGTAGGGGTGGGATTGGGTAGGTAGGGTAGTGGTAGGGTGGGGTCGGGTAGGGGTAGGACGGGGTAGGGTTGGGTTGGGTCAGGGTAGGGGTAGGGGTAAGGTGGGGTCGGGTAGGGGTAGGGTAGGTGGGGTAAGGGTAGGGGTGGGGTCGGGGTAAGGGTAGTGTAGGTGGGGTAAGGGTAGGGTGGGGGTCAGTTAGGTAGGGTAGGGGTGGGGTCGGGGTAAGGGTAGGGTGGGGGTCAGTTAGGTAGGGTAGGGGGTGTATGGTAATGGGGTAGGGTAGGGGTAAGGTGGGGGGTACGTGTAGGATGGGGTCGGACAGGTAAGGTAGGGGTAGGATGGGGTCGGGGTAGTGGTAGGGGGGTCGGGTAGGTAGGGGTAGGGTCGGGGTAGGTAAGGGTATGGTGGGGGTCGGTTAGGTAGGGTAGGGGTGGGGTCGGGGTGGGGTAGGGTAGGTGGGGTCGGGGTGGGGTCGGGGTAGGGTCAGGGTAGGTGGGGTAAGGGTAGGGTGGGGTCGAGGTAGGGTGGGGTTGGGGTCGAGGTAGGGTGGGGATAACAATAGGTTAAGGGCAAGGGGTAAATTCGGAAACCGAAAAAGGTTAAAGTGCCGCTTAATTAATACATGGGGGTGATATGCTTAATAAGCGGCACTTTAAGCACCTCTTTCGGTTAGTAAGCGGCTTTTTAAGCAGTGTGCGTGTTTACTTCACCTGTCTTACTAACCTAACTGTGACTTTAGCAGTGAAGTAAACACCTCCTTAGTTCTATTGGTACGTCCTAGGTAATTAGAACATAAACAAAAATAATCTGTTAAAGAAATGACTCTTTTTCTGACGGTATGTATATACGTAGGTTTTAAGAGGATGTCGATTTTAAGTTATGAAACGTGCATAATACGTATAGGCAGTGGAGGACCTAGGGAGGGGCCTATCGGGGCAAGTGCCCCGGCTTCCGGCCAAGAATTTCACTACTAGTACTTAGGGTAAAATAGGTGCCCTGCTTCCGGCCAAAAATTTCACTACTACTATTTCGGATAAAATTAGTGCCCCAACCCGTACAAAAAATTATTAGTATTAGATAATCAAGATACTAAAATGTTATGGGTATATAAATTAGGAACATGAGTTTGTATAACTTTGTAATTCGGACTAAGAGGTCTTTAACTCGAGGGGATAGTTCTTCGAATGTTCCTAATCAGACTATCTCAAGTGATGCAAATGTTGTTGCTCCGAATGTAAGCATTGTCCGAGATGAGTCTAATGACACCTGGGGAGACAAAAGAGCCCGCACAGATAATACGTGTGAGTGGGATATCATTAGCGATCCCGCATTACGAAAGTCAATCATTGAATATGAGACTCGAGTAAGAGATGATGTGATGAGTGCGTATGTCGTTAAAGGTGCTTGTCAACCATTGTCTCATGATTTTCCACGAACTTTATTTGGGAAAAAATGAGATGTTTTCGAGCAGAGTGGTTTAAAAATTGGGAATGGTTGGAATATAGTATTTCTAAAGATGCCGCATTTTGCTTTTGGTGTTACCTTTTCCATGGGGTAGAAGGGAAGAGATTTGGAGATGATGTATTTGTGAGGACCGGGTTTAGCATGTCTTGATCCTAGAGATAAGTTCTCTAATTTCTGTGAGTCAAAGCTACTGAAACTCGCGAAATTATATTCATGCGTTTTTCATCTGTTGATAGAATGGAGCTGAAAGAGTAACTCCAGGTGTGGATATATGAAATGAGAACAAATGAATTACTGCCGTACAGACTATTAATGGTGAAGTTTGCAAAAAGATGGTTGAGCTTAAAGTTCACAATTCTTTTCACTTGGTATATCATCTGATTGAGTTGGCTTTAGTATTACCAGTTGCAACAGCCACCGTTGAAAGAGCCTTCTATGCGATGAATATTATCAAGACAGATCTTCGCAATAAGATGGGAGATGATTATCTTACCTTCTATGCGATGAATATTATCAAGACAGATCTTCG